TTGGATTCTTACTTAAATCATAATTTCTGTACATGAAAGCTTAACTAACGTAATTTTCCATGTCTGTAGCAGTGCTTTTTCCGGAGAACTCAGTAGATTGCCAGCAGCCTCAAGATTAAGAATATATCTCCCTTGTAGGTGGAAGCTGCAAAGAAACAAGATGATTTTGCATAGAGAAAAGCAGGATGCTTTCGCTGCAGTTTCCTGCTGACATGGGGAGGCGGAAGGTGGAGCCAGTCAGTGGTCAGCCTGTTTTGGATGCTGTGTAGAACAGATGCATTGTGCCCCTCTCCACTCATTGGGTCAGCATCCTTGTGCACACCGGCCTTTCCCAGGGTGGCTGAGTTCTCCGATTCCTGCTGGGGAATGCTCCGCCAGCACGGCCTCACCTGTTTTTCCGCTTTTTTCCGCTGACAGTGACAAGCAGAAGGTTGGGTCATGCCCTCCTCCTCTCCTCCTCAGCGTGGCAGCAGTGGGAGGGACACGGGGGGACAGGCAGGAGACAACACCCGCTGGTTGTGCCAGTGCATTGATTAAGCTTCTGCCGTGTAGTACGTCCTGGGTTTCTAGCACACCCACTTTCATTGCTCCTGAAAACCTCATTACAAGTCAAAACATTTATTACCAACTTTTTAATAGGACATCACTATGCCAGCCACTTCTCTGGTGTATGTGTTTTGTTAAATTTTGCATTATTCTGACTAATTTGCAGTCGTGGCATTTGAATCCCATTTTCATTTGTCAGTCATCTTTTATAATAGCCTTCCAAATTATTATTTTTCTGATACGTGCAAGAATTGTTCTTTCTTTTTTATTTAATGGAGAATTTTCACTTTCTGTAATGTTTAAATTTTTAACAGTGAATATGTATTATATGTGAGTATGTGAGCAAAAAAATTAGTAAATGCTCTCAGGAATAAGGTCATGATGTATGCAGAGATTTAACTATGAGGATATTTACTGAAGTATTGTTTATAAGCACAAAAAATCTGAAACCTTAAATGGTCAATCATAGGAAAGTGATTGAATAAATTATTTGTGACCATGCAATGGAAGATTGTGCAGCCATTAAAAATCATGCTGCAGACCTGTGTTTAATACTATGGAAAGATGTCTATGATATGTCAAAGGATAAAAAGCAGATTACAAAGTAATATGTACCATATATAAGCACACATACATCCATATCTATCTGTCTGTCTGTCTGTGTATCTATCTACCTACCTACCTATCTATCTATCTATCTATCTATCTATCTATCTATCTATCTACCTACCTATCTACCTATCTATCTATCATCTATCTATATTAGAACCGTGCGTTCGCACTGATAACTTCTATTACAAGCCAGCATCACATAGTTTATTCTTGCCCTCTCTCTTCCTATATTTACACCTCTTTTTCCTGTGAGTGAGAAACTTTCTCCCACTTCCCTCAGTATAATTCCTTCTTCGCTCAGTTTCCTTGTACATGACAATCGTCTGACCATGCAGGCCACCTCCCTGGCCCAGTACTGTGTCCTCAGGCTCATTGTGCTCACTAGGTTTTCTAGAGTTCCCAACCCTCACCAGTAAGACTGTCTTCAATGTACAGAAATCACTGAGAACTGGAGAACCAGGCTTGGAAAACACGCAGGGCCCTGAAAGACGGGGGAGCTGAGAATAAGCCAGATGTGTCATGGGAAGAGTCTGTTAGAGGGCCACTGCTGGGGCTGCTGCAGCTGGCCAACCTGGGTACAGATGCCACTTGGCCACTGGGCTCTTGGATTTGCTGCCATCGCTGATGCTGCAGGACTCATGAAAATCTCTGACTGTTCCTCCCCTTTGCATCACTCAGTAAGATTCGAGGTAGAAGCACTTGTTTGATGGAGCCCAGGCCACATTTTAAAAAGGCCAGATTCAGTCTGCTTTTTGATTGATTTGTCCTGCTGTACTCTGGGCAGAAGGGTAATGGGAAGAAATGACAACTTTCCCACTGTTGATCTTTAAAGATTAAGATATTTGCTCAGGACACCTTGGCCCTGTTATGTGGTGAAATAGGTCAGCAAAATGATTGGAGGAGTTGGCAGTGAAAGAATGAGAAGGCACTGGTTGCATATTTGTTAAATCCAGTTAAGCTCTAAGTGACCCTTTTTGGTTCATTCTGTTTGGACCATGAATTAAAAAGTAAAAATTCCAGGTGGCTGATAACTGAGTCATGAAATACATCTGGTTTTTCTGGTTAGTTTTAATGATAGGTGAAGAAATCCACGGATATCAAAAGGTAACATTCTTTAGGAAAAGGCTGGTAATTTTGTTTATAAATATGCTCAGGATCAATGTTGTAAGAATTTTGTAATACAGGCCGGAGTTCACACTAACCAATGCTATAATGAAATATTTTCAAGCCTTATCTGATGGCACACCGACTATAAGCACTAGTCAATATAAGAAAATTTCGGGGCAGTACAGGGAGTTGAGTCAGGCCATGAAAGATGATTTGACTTTTATCACACAGCACTTAATGCAAATTCATTTTGCTAGAATTCTGAGTTTAATAATAATGACTAAACGTCTTGAGTGCTAACAAGAAGCCAGGCAGTGTGCAAAGTACTGCAGGTATCTTGTCTTTTAATCTTCATCTAACCCTATAAAGTAAATATTGTTATTGACACTTTAGAGATAGAAAAGATCACACAGAAAGTGATGGGGTTGGCTATTTTTTTGTTTTTTGTTTTAAATTGTAGCATAGTCAATTACAATGTGTCAGTTTCTGGTGTACAGCATAATGTTTCAGTCATATATATACATACATATATTTACTTTCATATTCTTTTTCATTATAAGTTACTACAGGATATTAAATATAGTTCCCTATGCTATACAAAAGAAATTTGTTTTTAAATCTATTTTTATATATAGTAGTTAATATTTGCAAATCTTGAGCTCCCAATTTATCCCTTCCCACCCCCTTCCCCCCCAGTAAACGTAAGGTTGTTTACTATGCTTGTGAGTCTGTTTCTGTTTTGTAGATGAGTTCATTAGTATCTTCCTTTTTTCTTTTTTTAGATTCCACATATGAGTGTTATCATATGGTATTTTTCTTTCTCTTTCTGGCTTACTTCACTTAGAATGGCGATCTCCAGGGCCATCCAAGTTGCTGCAAATGGCATTATTTTATTCTTTTTTATGGCCGGGTGGGGATGGGTTTTAAATCCACGTTTGTCTGACTCTTGAGCTTGCTTTTGATGGCAACATTGTACTAGAAAGAAAAGCCGTTAATTGAGTCACAAGTTAACTCTGAATTAGCACAAGAGGTTTCCTTGTCGCTAGTTCTTAGAGAACAACTTTCTCTTTTTAGATTCAGTAACTCAAGAAATATCTTTCCATCCAAGATTCATTCTCTGAGTTAAAACAGTATAAACTGTTATTGCCACGTAGACTTTTGCTGTTTATACTATTCTCACACGTCGTCATACTAGATGTACGGCTGAGGTGGTTTTCTTAGAGTTTAGGGGGAAAGCACAGGGTAAGGTGGGTGGTATGGCATCTCAGATCATCTCTGATATTCAGAACTACTGACTTTTAGGGATTTGTGTAAATATTCAGTTCTTTCTTAAAAAACGTGTGGGTACTTGGTGGACCTGTGGGAAGCAGCAGGCACTGAACTTTACACATGTCTCATAGTAGAATGCTTGCCTTTATTTGTGTTCAGTTTTCACTTTCGAGCTTCAAGTTAAGTTCAGGTTTTCTAGAATAGAGAAGACAAGTTTTGTTCATCTTGCTATAACTTTCATGGTTTTGACTGAGTTTGCTGACTTGAAATTGATTTTTATTCTCTTATATGTACTTTAGTAAACCTGTGGGTTATAGAACGTTCATCTTAGCATTAAAACATGCTTCCCCTAACCTTTACCCTTGTTGTGAATGTTTCCTGCTCAGTTTAGTCCATGTGCTTATGAAACTACATCCCATGAAACAAATAGGAAAAAGCAAACCAACAAACAAATAAAAAAACAAAAAAACCCTGCTCTTAGTCCTGGTAGTGTAGAGATAGCACTGTCTAAGTTCAGAAAGCGAGTGTTGCTAACCTGATGCAGGGGAAGAGCCCAAACCCACTGATGTCATTCGCAAAAGACAGCATTAAATAATTTGTGGGAACTTTAATACTCATTGTACTGATTTTATTTACTAAAATTCTGTTACTTTGAATATGAAATGTTTTCCCCTTTAATTTTATTTTATTGCGTATAGTTTGTTCAGTTTCTTTGAGATATAGATATATAGATATATAGATAAAGAATGTATATTTAACCCAACTGCTTTGAGTGCTATATGGAACTGTAGCAAGCCAAATGTAGAACTGGGGTCAGGGGTTAATAGATTCAAAGCTACATCTTTGAATTCCTCTATAGCTGGCTTTGTGTACATATATCCATCACTACCTGTTCTAGCACGACACTTTTTAGTCTTGGATATAGACACATACTCTGGCAGATAGAGGGGCAAGCTGCTATGTCTCTGTTATCATTAGCAGAGCTCTCAGGAAAGGCCTGCTTCATTTTCCAAAAAGAGAACTGATTATATGTGAATGGGAGAATTGATAAGAACATGAGGATTTTTTCCTTCAGTTTGCAAAGGGGTCTACCCATGTACATAAATATATATGTATATATATATGGTAGATGAATTTCTTTTTTCTTCTAAGTAACCATCATATGAAAGCAGTAGAAATTGTTTGTAATTTGCATGTCATTATAACAATATCGTAAAAGCTCCGTGGCTCGGGACCTCGGGCCAGGGCTTAGAAACGGTTCCACAGTCGCATATGAAGCATTCCTTGTCACAGGATGTGAACTATAACAGAGTGCTCCGGGCGATGTTAAATTGGGGTGATTTTTAGAAAGTGACAAATGGTTTATGTTTCCTAAATCCGAGGTGGCTTCTACCAGCTCTAAACGGCTGCCAAGTTATGTTATCACTTGCCTGCTTTGTAACTGCCTCAACGATTTCCTTCCCCAGCCCTGTATGATGAGATTCGTCAGTTTCGCAAGGCCTGTGGGGAGGCTCATCTCAAAACCATCTTAGCGACGGGAGAACTTGGATCCCTTACTAACGTCTACAAAGCCAGTATGGTAGCGATGATGGCAGGTAAGCGTTTTATATTGAAATGATGGTATGTATGAAATTGACGTTTTTAGGAGAAGTAAGTGAAAGCATTTGGCTGTTTGCAAAAAAAAGTGCTAATCACTTGGAATTCTTTTGTGGGAGGGGCCAGATTTTTATGAATCCATGTACAGTGGGAAGCGGTCACAAACTTGGCTTTGCTCCACATGTTTTTTTGGTGGCGTTTCATCACTGCACTATCCTTGTAAGGCAGTAGATGGCTCTCTTGTTAGTGAATTGCCTTCTGTGTTATTCTTTGATTATTCATTCATCAACATATGTTAGACAAGAATTCCTTTAACTCTGACTTACTCCTCTCTGTGAATTTAAGTGTTTGATTTTTCTCAGAGAGGCATATCCATCCTGTCTCAGGCAGCCTGTGATTTTGTTTGTGTGAATTTTCTTCTTAAATTTAAGGCAGTATTATTGTTTTTTTTACGTTTTCAAACGTAGGTTGCCTTGTTCTTTATCTTCACACACAGCAGGTCTAGCCGTTCACACACTCAGACTTAAAACTTGGGAGTCATGCTTGGGAGTCGCTCCTTCTTTTTCTCACCTTCATCAGCAAATGAGTCTTGAGAATTCTACTTTTTTACTGTATCTGATGCATCTTCTCTCCATCCTGCGTGCTGCTCTCTTAGGCCACTGTCATTCCCCACATGGCTCACTTCAGCAGCCTCCTGACTCGCTTCCCTATCTCTACTTTCCTCCCCTTTCAGTCTGTTCTCCATGCTGTTGCCAGAATGATCTCTTAAAAATGCTAATTGGGTGGTAGTACTGGGCCGCTTAAAATCCTTCCGTGGCTTCCCTTCATTTGCAGGGTGCAATGCAAATGCCTTCAGCCTGACTTCAAAAAGGGTGCTTCCCAAGACCCTGCCCAATCCTCTACCGTCTGCTCGGTTCCCTTCACGCCACGTGCTCCAGCTGCGTGGAGTCCCATGCAGCGCTCTGCACAGGGTAACATCCAACCCTTTTGAGTCTTTGTACCTGCTGCGTTCCATGCCTGGAATGCCTTTGGCCCAGATAACATCTGTGGATTCAGCACAGGTGTCACTGCTTTCAAGACTATTTCCCAAATACTATGATTTTCTGTGTATTCATCCTGCTTATAATTTGCTGAGTTTCTTGGATTTGTAGGTTGTTGATATCTTTTCAAGTATATTTTCTGCTTCATTCTGTCTCTTTTTTTCCTTCTAGGACCCAAGTGCCTGAGTGTTAGACATTGTCCCACAGGTTACTGGGGTCATTTCACTTTAACTTTAATCTTTCCCTCCTCCCCTCTGTTTTTCTGGTTGACTAATTTACATGAATCTTTATTCAATTTCCTTGACTCTTATTTTCTATCTCAAATATACTGTTATGCCCATTCAGTGACATTTATACTCATGTACATTTTTGGTTTTAGAATTCATTTGATTCTTTTTTAAAATTTTTATTTCTCTGCTACTTCCCTTTTTTTCACTCATTGAGATCATATTTTCTTTTAAATCCTTGAATATATTTGTAACAGCTGATTAAGAGTCCTTAACTGCTAATGTGTATAGCCTTATATATTTTGCTTAGTTATATAGTTATTTATAGCAAGAGGGCAAATCTGATCGCATTTATTCTGTCATGTCTGAAATTCTTCAGGGCTTTTGTTTCCCCAGTAATTTAGCATCAAAATCTCGAAAGGAAAGGAATTTGTCATTTATATTCATAATAGTTTTTATCTTGTAATTTTGATAGCCATTTTGATAACTGCAAACACAGTTCTCTAGAGAGAGCAAGGTAGAGATATATAACTACATTAGTCTGATATTATACATCATTGTAAGTAAAAACTTAGCTAGGGTGTGTGTGTTTAGATTTTTGGTCAACTAAATGATGAGTAGCCTACTTGTGGTTTAAGTTTGTTTAGAAATCTTTCAGAATGTCTTAGGGGAAGGAGCCATGATCATAGAAGTTAGAAGACCTGGACCCTTGTTCTAGTTTGCAGAATTTGTGACATTAAACAAATGAATTAATATGAGTATCAATGCGAATGAAGTAATGTACATGACATTTGTTTAGTTGTAGGAGATACAAGATATTGAGCTGGATTTCATTCTGTACTGATCCCAAAGCTTACTATGTTAATAGGATTGTTCAGTAAATCTTACATACAAATTACAAAACTTGTTTTGCCAATTTTTGACTGTGTCTTAAAAGAGAATGGTCTAAAAAAAATTGACTCATTGATAATCACAATTAGATGTAGCCCAGTTCATTTTTGTTATGGTACAGTTCGCAGCTCTGGTTGTCATTGCTCTGAATTCTTTTACAATGGAAGCTATAGAAGCCACTTCAGCCCTTCAGATGTGTAAGAGATCACTCACTCAGCAGCCACAGTGATCCAGAACCAAGCCAGGAACCAGGGAAAAAAAATATATGTATATTTTGAACATGATGAAATATATATGATATAACCTATACTGTAACATTAATAATAGGTAACATTTCTGGGGCATTTACTGTGTGACAGTTACTATTTTAAGGGCTTTATGTTTATTTTAACATATAATCTTCAAAATAACTCTACAAGAAAAGTACTCTTTTATGGTAAATAGGGGCATCAGTTAAAAGGGTGTCTTTGCTGCTAGTCTGTAGGGTCATGATTGCTGTTTGTAAACATCCCAGGTGCTCCTGTCTTTGTTATGTCATTTCCTCTGTCTGTTTTGCCTTCTCCCCTTCTGTTAGAAGTTTATAAAGATTTAAATAAAATTTTCAGACTCTGTCAAATCTCTCCATGATCCTTTAAAGGCAGAATTAATTGTTCGTACTACCCCGCTCCTGGGCCACTTGTAAATACCAGTCGCATTTGTCAATAGTATATAATCATCAGCTGTTTTCCCTGTTAGGTTTTCTTGCAAAATGATGAAACTTCTTGAGGCCAAGAATTATCTTATTTATCTTTATTTGCATGTGATTACCACCATTCCTGGCATCTAGGGACACCTAAAGAAATGTTTTGGAATACACAGAGATGAATTAATGAGAAAGACAGAGATAAAGAACAGAGAAAATAGGCGAAGTGAAATTAGATTAGATTAGATCTAGATTCATCTTTCCAGATCTGCCACAACCTCCTAGATTTCTGGTATGTAATTTTGAGAGCAAACTTTTGTTTGAATTGAACAAGAAGATTAAAAAATCATACCTTTGACGAGGAGGTTTATATACACAAGACATGGTTAAGGCAGTGGAAGCAGTAGCATGATGTACAAAAGGTTTGTGAGGATTCTGAGCTCGTTCCAGAGGGAAGGAAAGACCAAGGAAGACTTGTTGCCTTAAGTTTTTGGTCACAGAGAATGGATCTTACTTTTTACATTAGTGGAAATGTGGGGGCGGAAATGAAAATAAAGGAGGAGGGGTCAGGGTAAACAATTTGAAGTGAATATAATCATGGAAGGGAAATGAGAGCCATTATTTTTGCAACAAATAATCCAAGAACAAGGTGATAAGAAGTAAGATAGAAAGGGAAACATGCTTATAGAAAAGAGAAGTCCAAAGCAGTTCAGTCTTCTACTTAAGGAACTTCAGCCCAGCAAACACGCACAGTAAGAATAATGCCAGGATGTGGAAGAGTGGCTTTATCTCGCAGGAGCCATGGACTGTTGGCACATGCGCAGCAGCTCACGAGCTCTGTGCTGAAGTTACGCTAGACCTTATCTTTGGAAATAATGCAGGCATGATAAATAAGGTTGGAGCAGAAAAGCACTATAGATGCAATCATAGTGTCATCAGGTTTGAATTGCTGATGAAGATCTGCGGGAAGAGTTGTACAAACACAAAAATGTGGGGCTTGAGAAGAGCAGACCTTGAAGGGAATGCAAAATGAGCTTTGAACTTGGCTGGGATTTTGTAATGTCTAGGAAATCAAAAATGAAAAAAGTAGGAACCAAGGGAGGGAGTACTCGAAATTCAACCCAGTAAGATCAAAGTAATACAGAAACAATGCGATGAGGCAGAGAAAGAGAAGAAAGTAGAAGGGAAGCCATTGAATAAATAAAATAAAGGGGGGAAAATAGTGGGAAACTTGCTGTGACTGAAGGAAACCAAACCCTAAAAAAAAAAAAAAGTAGCTGTGATTAATATAGCAAATTGACATCTAAGATTTTTTTAAAATATGAATCAAAGAGTAGAATAAATGACAGTGTAGATTTATTTTTCTAAAGATTGTCACAAGTCACACTGAATCCTTCGTCTTAGGCTGCAAATCTTTGTATACTCGAGGAGTATTGATCCAGATGGCGCATCTAGACCCCCGTGGTGTTCCAGCCTGTTTTTTTTTAAATAAGATCTTGTCTTTCATAGCAAAAGCACTTATTTAATTTATGAAGAAGTATGCGGCAGCTGAAAGTTGATCACTGGGGAAAGCAGAAGAATATAGATGTACGTATTTGGTTAAGAGGTAAAGAATTTAATGTGTAAATTTATTTATAGTTCTTTAAAGAAGCCCTGAAAATGAAACCACTTTTAGGGTGAAAACTAATTAACTTAACATCTCATCCAGGGAGTCCATTTGAACTCAGGGCCTCAAGCAAAAATTTTAGAAAGTTTGCCTTCACCCACCCACACCCTCACCATCCTTTGTTGAGTGCAGAATAAAGAACTCTGCAGAAGAGAGACGTTAGTGTGTTTTCTGGCCTCCCAGCCATACGGGAAGGACTAATGGCGCATTTTGGTATATGCATGTTATTTTAAAGAAAAGGTTAACTCTATACATTTAAACATAAAGCGTTTTCTATGCCTCTTCATGGCTAGCCTACTGGGGTAGCAGGGGAGAAAAAGCTTGTAAGCTTAGTTTTTTATGTGGCAGATGCTAGTCAGTAAAATTTTACTGTGTGAAATTTTTAAAAATGTAACTCACCTTATTCCAAAAGTGCATAACTGCCTTCCCCAGACCCGGCTTGCCTGGAGCAGTTCCTGGGTACAAAGGTTAGACAGTGCCTGGGAAATGCTTG